CTCTCCTGGCTCTCATCCTACCTGTCACAACGCTCTTTCAGCGTTACCTATAATGCTACCACCTCCCCCTCACTCCCCCTCTCTGTTGGGGTCCCTCAAGGCTCTGTCCTTGGGCCCCTTCTCTTCTCCATCTACACCTCCTCCCTTGGCCAACTCATACACTCTCACGGCTTCAACTACCACCTCTATGCCGACGACACACAAATCTATCTCTCAACCCCCCACCTCACCCCCTCGGTGCCCAAATCACACACCTACTGAGCGACATATCAGATTGGATGTCGCTCCACTTCCTTAAACTGAATCTCTCCAAAACCGAGCTCCTTGTCTTCCCCCCAGCCCGAACCCCACCCCCCATTGACTTCTACATCACATCCAACAACGCCAATATCAAACCCGCTCTGCAGGCCAGAGTACTTGGTGTCATTCTGGACTCCAACCTATCCTTCCAGCCCCAAGTCCAATCTTTAACAAACTCGTGCAGACTCCACCTCCGCAACATCGCCAAAATCCGCACATTCCTAACCCCAGAAACCACTAAACAGCTCATCCACTTCCTCATCATATCACGACTCGACTACTGCAACTCCCTCCTCACTGGCCTGCCTCGCCGCTGGCTATCCCCGCTTCAGTCCATCCTGAATACGGCTGCCAGACTCATTCACCTTTCCAACCTCTCCATTTCCGCCACCCCCCTCTGCCAATCCCTCCACTGGCTTCCGATTGCGCAACGGATCAAATTTAAAATCCTAACACTGACGTACAAAGCTGTCCACCATACTGCTCCGAACTACATCACTGACCTAATATCCAAGTACCGCCCAGCACGCACACTCCGCTCCTCACAAGACCTCCTTCTCTCTAGTTCCCTGGTCTCCTCCTCCCATGCCCGCCTCCAGGACTTATCCAGGGTGTCACCCATCCTCAGGAACTCCCTGCCCCAACCCATCAGATTATCACCTACTCTCCTCTCCTTTAGGCGCACCCCGAAAACCCATCTCTTCAGGGAAGCCTACCTCACCCCCTGCTAACTTGCTGACCTCCTCCACTCTTCCTACCACTCCATCCCCTACAGCTATCTCCTCCTGTACCACTGCCCCATCCCTTCTAGATTGTAAGCTCGAAAGAGCAGGGCCCTCGATCCCCTCATGTTTTGCATTGTATTGGTATCGTTCTGTCACATGTTCTGTCCCCCTTTGTAATGTACAGCGCTGAGTGAACTATTGGCGCTTTATAAATACTGTATAATAATAATAATAATAATAATAATATTATTGTTGTCTTATGACCTTTACAAGCAAAATTTTGCTAGGAGCGAGTCCATGATGTTGACATGTTTTTCATCTCACCTCTTCATATGCCTGAGCCAGTTTCAGGGTATACAAAATACAAAATGATAGGCAATATGTCTGTGAAGGTTTCCATTTTTCTAGGTTGTAATATACATTAGTATTATTACTATTATTATGCAGGATTTATATAGCGCCAACAGTTTATGCAGCACTTTACAACATAAGGGCAGACAATACAATTACAATACAAATGAATACAGGGGGAATCAGAGGACCCTGCTTTTTAGAGCTTACAGTCTAAGAGGGAGGGTTGAGAGATACAAAAGGTAATAACTGTGGGGGATGGGCTAATGTACAAAATACATGTACAGTTGTTCAGTGGGGGCAGGATAGGCCTTTCATAAGAGATGAGTTTTCAGGGATCATCTAAAAGTGGACAGAGATGGAGATAGTAGGACACATTGGTGAAGGGAGTTCCAGTGGATGGGAGTGGCTCTGGAGAAGTCCTGGAGGCAAGGTGACAAGGGAGCTAGAGAGCAGGAGGTGTTGGGAAGTACGAAGAGAATGATTTGGTTTGTATTTTGAGACAAGGTTATTGATGTAGCTAGGGGCTGAGTTGTGGATAGCTTCATAAGTTGTTGTGAGCAGGGGCGGACTGACCATTTGGAAACTCGGGCACTGCTCGAGGGCCCGGGGTCAGTAGGGGGCCCCATGAGATGCCCATGGTACCTTTTTCATGGGCTTATTTGAGTTTGGGCAAGGACACAGGGGCCCCATGATCCCCTATTGCCCGGGGGCCCCATGAGTTGTCAGTCCGCCCCTGGTTGTGAGTATCTTGAATTTTATTTGTTTGGTGATTGGGAGCCAGTAGAGGGATTGGCAAAAGGGAAGGGGGGGTCAGACACTGAACGGTTGGTAAGGTGGATGAGTCTGGCAGCAGCATTCATGATGAACTGGAGGGGGGATAGCCTATGCAAAAGTAAGCCAATATATATATATATATTTTTTTTTTTTTTTTTTTGTGTGTGTGTGTCTCTCTCTCTCTCTCTCTCTCTCTCTCTCTCTCTCTCTCTCTCTCTCTCTCTCTCTCTATATATATATATATATATATATATATATATGCAGTATGAATGGTAGAAGTCAGAATTTAATGATACAGAATAAGTCCAGTTAAATTAGACTACCTCTTACCAGCTATGCACCTTAATGTTGCTGTACTGCAAATCCACCACTAGATGGCAGAAAGATGCTTTCTTTTGGAGATAATGCACTCTGATTTTAACCTTTTGTTTCTTTCTCCATGGGTATAATGCACAAGGCTTTAAATGAATCTATTCTCATGAATAATGCAGGTGCAGTTAATCATTTCAAGATGTATATAAATCCAGATACAGTAAAGCAGCATTCTATTTCACAAAACGTAATATATTTTATACATGGTGTGCATGGTCTGTCTATTAAAAGCAATTTGGTCTTTGTTTGGAGGGCAGAATAACATGAAGAAATATGAAATTGGTGTGTTTAAACAATAAAGGGATTGCTGGACTTTCAGCATAAAGCCAGCCAGTGTGCAATTTCCTTTTTCCTGTCCTTAAAATGATCAAATGAGAATGCACTCAGGTAAAACACACTCCACCAGACATTGCTGAGGCAGAAAAAAAAATGTGTAGACATAGCGTCTACCAAGAAACATTTATGGATTGCTTTCACTTTCTTTTAAACTTTCCATTTGTAGCATAATTATGTGCCCGTAACATGTCTGTTCCCTTTTGTCTGAGGGACGTCCATTCATTATTTGTTCAACCAAAGCGTGGAACTGCATGATTTGTTTGTCATGGGAATGTAGTACTCCCTATTGTAAAAAATGAGGATATTAGAGGATACTCATGAGTACTACAACCACCAGACCTCAAGGCACAGACTTTTATTTAGCCTATAAAGCTCCTTTGTGACTACTAGCATTATTTTAAATTTACTGTACACTGGTCTACAGTATGTTCCCTATAAATGGAATTCTAAGGGCTCATGTACACGGGACGTTTGGAAAAGTCTTCTGAACGATGGAAACTGACTGCTGGAAAACGTAGGTCAAAAAATGTCAGTTTAGCCGCGTTTGCATACCGCGTTTATTCTGTTTGCGTTTTTAACCTCAGGAGACCTTCCCAAATGCCCAGAATGCACTGAAAAATAGTAAAAAATTAACTATTTCAGACATTTTGAGAGAAATAGAGAGAGCAGAAGCAGAGAGAGCAGTATGTGTTGAGATTACCTGTCTTTTCTGGTTGTATTCACTATGGATCCCATCATGAGCATAATGCAGCATGTTCTACCATTTTTTCCTTCATGCAAAACCTGGAACTGACTGTGCTGGTGTGCTAGGTCCATTTGAATACATGGAAAATGCTTTGCATGCATTTCTGATGATGACAAAATGCTCTGGACAGCATCTGGACATGGAACAGTTATGAAACGCTTCTAAACACAAATGCTTATAAACGCGGTTAACTGCATTTACAATCGTTTACAAAACTTTTGAAACACCGGTAAAATCTACTCCTGAACGCAAGTTTGGTGCGTTCAAAAAAACAACTGTAAACTCAACTGTCTGTAAACGACTGTAAACGACATAGTGTACGTGGACACATAGGAAAACATTAGGGAGAGTTCAGGGGCTGCTGAAAAAAAACACTGAACAGCTCCTGAACGTGAGTTTAGCAGCTGCAGTGTACATGACCCCTAAAGGTACAGAATGTTTAAATTGTTGCTGTCTATGTAGACATATTTTTAGTGACAGTTAATGCAGAAAAAAAAGTCAAAACATGAAATGGCACATTAAAAGATTAACCCCTTCCCACTGCCACCTCCTGGTCCTTTAACTGGATCAAAATGCTGGGAGGGAGGTGCAAATTCCGATCATGTGACCAATGTGATTGGCTGTCACAGTGGTCACATGACTGGAAGTATCACGATCGCAAGTATGCACCTGGAGCTCTCTGTTACATGTTAGTTGCTGAGCTAGGAGCTTGCAGTGAGCAGGCTCTTGCCACAGTACATTGTTTACCAAAAGATGCATATATGTGGCCACAAGGCATTAAGGCTCACCCACAGAGCAGCTGCATACATGCGCCATGTCGGAGGGATGCTATAAAAAAATACTCACTTTCAATCTGGTGCTGTTCCCTGCAGTACTCTTTGTCTACCACAAGATGTCCTCATTTTTTTGATCCAATGACAGCCAGCATCAACCAACCTACTTCCTTTAACCACTTGCCCTCCAGAGGATTTATCCCCCTTCCTGACCAATCCTTTTTTTGTGATACAGCGCTGCATTATGTTAACTGACAATTGCGCAGTCATACAATGCTGCACCCAAATGGTCTTTTTTTCCCACAATAGAGCTTTCTTTTGGTGGTATTTGATCACCTGTGCTTTTTTTTTTTTTTGAGCTATAAAAAAACCCCAACAATTTTGAGAAAAAAAAAATATTTTTAACGTTTTGCTATTAAACCTGTCCAGTCAAAAAATTTAAAAAATCAAAGTTCGGCATAATTTTAGGACAAAATGTATTCTGCTACATGTCTTTGCTGAAAAAAAAATCCCATTGCATGTAAATTAATTGGTTTACGTGAAAGTTATAGCATTTACAAATGGCTATATACTGGGATTTTTTTTTAAATTTTTACTAGTAATGGTGGCGATTAGTGACTTATAGTGGGATTGCGGCAGGTATTCTGACACTGGGGGGAACTGACTTGGTGTCACTGGCATCTCCAGTGACACCAATACAGTGACCAGTGCTAATAAAAAGTACTGACACTGTACTAATGGCACTGAGCAGGAAGGGGTTAACATGTGGGGTGATCAAAAGGTTAACTGTGTGATGTGTGCTGTTTTACTGTGTGCTGTGTTAGTGCTTTCTACTCTAATCACACTGCTATGCAGAGCCATACAAAGCAGTGTGCAGGAACTGACAGGGGAGAGAACTGTATTGTTTACATACAGTTCTCTCCCTCCATCAGTAATGCTCGGCGATCACCAGGTGCCGGCAAGTAATCACCAGCCTGTACCCGGTGATTGACAGCTGAGGCCGTGAATAGCATCGCAGGTAGGGCGCGTGCCCCCTACCTGGAAATGCAAAATCACATATACACAATACATGATTTTGTGCACCCCTGCCGCCCTGTAGCAGTATATCTGCTAGAGGGCAGCGGGAAAGTGGTTAAATGTTTTTGGGTTTAGAAACTCAATAACATAATCTAAAATTTGGGGTCAGTTCTACTTACCATGGATAAGTACTGTATTTTATTGTGGGTCATGTGTGCTTTCCCACAGGTGCATAGGCTTTGTATAACTGCCTCCTCCTATTACCATTAATTGTTTGAAAGACTCTATAAATCCTAAGATATTTTGGGAACTCAACATTCTTTTGCTTTTGCCCAGCTTGCAACGTTTTGGCGCTTTGCTACACTAATTTAAAGTAAGGTATACAGTTATTTCTATTTGCCATTGTTTCACTTTTAAAAGGCCAGAACCCCCACAATTGCAATGTTGTTGTTTTTTTTTTTATTATTAATACAATTTTCATAGAGGTGATTATGCTGTTATTTGAAATATAATTTATTAAGTACAGTACAACAGTGTTAATATTATATTAACACTGATACAATAATTGTTATTATTATTATTATTACATTTATGTATTTATTTAGAGGTAAAGTACAGTGATTAATACCTGCCAGTCAAGAATGGTATCCATGTGACTGGATTGCAATTAAAATTAACATTTTGTTGCTTGGTAGTGGATACAGCACTTTATACACTGTCATTGCTCCCGAGAGTCCTGAATTATGCCATATTATTATTAATATTATTATACAAGATTTGTATAGTGCCAACAATTTTCGCAATACTTTACAATATAGAAAAGGAGACAGTACAGTTACAATACAATAAAATACAAATACAAGAGGGTAAAAAGGGCCCTGCTCAGAAGAGCTTACAATCTTATAGGGTTGTGCAAGATGAACTAATGGAAGTGATACAAGTTTAGTTGGAGGTGTGATTGGCTTCCCTGAACAGATGAGTTTTCAGGGATCACCTAAAGTCAGTCAGAGTAGGAGATAGCCAGACTGATTAAGGTAGAGAGTTCCTAAGGATGGGAGAGGCTCTGGAGAAGTCCTGGAGACAAGCATGGGATGAAGAGACAAGGGAACTTGAGAGCAGGAGGTCTTGAGAGGAGCGGAGATGGTTTGGATGATATTTGGACAAAAGATACTTGATGTATGTAGCGCAGGGCAGAGTTGTGAGTTGTGAATGGCTTTGTATGTTGTTGTTGATTAGTTAAAAAGGGACTCATTTGATGCGTGGCCGGCTCACGGATGGACGCGCTGTAATCTCCACTCCGCCAGCACACTAGAAGAAACTCTGCACACCCCGGTCCCGAAGGACAGAATCTGACAGCTAGGCTTACCACAACCCTCTCCGATCATGCCCCGCTGCCGAAAAACCCCTGGACAGCCAGGGAAACTAACAAACTTCTTCCCTGCTGTCACAGCAGGGATCCAAGATGGCACCGGCTGCAGCACTGAGGGACATAGCAGTCATGAGGGGAACAACACAGCCCAGCAAGCAGATGCCAGGCTGCGATATCCACTATATCCTGGGGACCCTTGTGAGTCATCTCCCCTACAACAAGCAGCCCAGCCAAATCGAGACCCCCGTTTAGATTCAGACAGCACGTCTGCCTGCCAGACCCTCATCCTTACATCACCTCATCTCAACATTGACCCACCAGTGATATAATCATTCCCAGCATCCGATCAACTCATCACTGAAATATGCATGAAAAACATGCTACTATCGTTGAGACAAACACTACACAGCGATTTAATGTCATCACTAGCCCAGATTACAACCGTGGTTCAGCAGCAAGACCACAGATTACGCAATATTGAAACAAAAATGGGCGAAATAATTGTAGCACATAACGACCTGATCGACGCACATGCTGATCATACATCTGACATCGAACAAATTAATTTGAAGCTAGCAGATCTAAAGGATCCATCTAGGCGTAATAACATCAAATTCAGAGGTATTCCTGAAAATATCTCCAATGATGCACTACTACCTTACATTCAACAATATGTGAAACACCTCATCCCGCCTCTTTCAGATATGGAGCTCGCCGTAGATCGAGCTCACAGGATACCCAAACCCTCATTCCTACCAGCATCAATTCCAAGGGATGTTCTGGCTTGCATCCACTTCTACCACATAAAAGAAAAGATAATGTCGACGGCCAGAAATCCCCCTCCGCTCCCACCATCACATTCAAATGTAAGGTTATTCGCAGACATTTCAAAGGCCACACTCCTTAACCACAAAAAGATGATCAACATCACCAAAACCTTACGTAACCACGGAATAGGCTATCAATGGGGTTTCCTCACAAAACTACAACTACATCAATTCTCCCACATCTCTATGGCCACTAACTCTAAGAAGAAAAATGGTGTTATTACATCTATAAAGGACTCTATGCAGTTCAACTTCATATCGTAAATGGCTGACCCTCAGAGCCGCTATCATATTTTAATCTGCAAAATCAATGAAATTCCTTACACTCTAGTAAATGTCTGTGGTCCCAATAATAACCAGATGCAATTCTACCGCAAACTCCAGTCCATCAGCTCTTCTCAAAAACAAGGCAGACTTCTAATTGGCGGAGACTTCAACGTCATCGGCAACCCAATCCTGGACTCATCTTCCAACAAAAGATCTACCAAACAGACTTTCAACCGCTTCCTACATGACCACGACCTCTATGACATTTAGAGATGCCAACACATATCCGAAAGAGACTACACCTATTACTCCCCTTCTCACTCATCCTACTCCAGAATCGACTTTTAGATTACGGATAAATGGACTCTACAACACGTAACTTCATCCAAAATTGGTACCATAACCTGGTCAGACCACGCTCCAATCAACATAACCTTAGACGACAATCAACGCTCTGCAATTCTTCCCATCTGGAGACTGAACTCTACAATTTTGAAAAACAATCAAAAATACCTGTTAGAAGCACACAACCAATTCTTTGAATTTAATGCTACACCTGATATTTCTATAACCACACTGCGGCCTGCTTACAAAGCATACATGAGAGGTATCCTCATACAACTAAATTCCCGAATTACCAAACAAAGATCCCAACAAATTGACCAACTTCTAACATCCATAAAATTAAAAAAAAGAAATCAACAAAAAAAAAAACCCAAACACCTCCGTATCTGCCGTCGTATCCTCGGACAGAAACAAACTCCGATCTCTAATACTTTACAAATATGACCTCAACCTCCAAAAAACAAAATCGCAATTTCTATTCCCTAGGAAACAAAACAAATTCTCTTTTAACAAAAATAATCAAAAACGTCTTAAATCCAAAATCTCTTAAATTCAACACCCCACTACTCACAAATTGCTCATGAACCCGCAAGACATAGCTAATGCTTTTGCGACATACTACCAAATCCTGTATAACATCAAAGACGATCCAGACACAACCCAACCAATAACAGTATCCATACAAAACTTCCTAACCACCACAAATTTACCCCAACTTACTCCATCACAACTCACATCCATCTTGATCCCGATCTATCCCACAGAAATAGAAAAAACTATAAAAACCTTACCTCTTAAAAAATCTCCAGGTAACGACGGCTTCACGAATGAATTCTACAAAACATTTACCCCTAACCTTACACCGCATCTAACCAATCTATTTAACCATGCCGCTTCTACAGGTGAATTCCCCAATGAAATGCTACAATCCATAATCACAACTATTCCAAAACCTGGCAAAGATCCTCAACTCGTACAGAATTACAGACCGATCTCACTATTAAATACCGCCATAAAACTCTACGCCAAAATAATAGCTCAAAGACTGCTTCCCCATCTTCCTACACTAATTCACCCAGACTAAGTGGGATTCATTCCTAGTTGCCAAGAACCAGACGCAACTAGAAGACTCTTATCCCTCATACACAAACTAGAAACTACCAAACAACCCTCCCTATTCCTATCCCTAGATGCTGAAAAAGCATTCGACCGAATACAATGGCAATTCATGAAACTCACACTTCAAAAATTTGGAATTAAAACTGGATGGTATCGGCAATCCTTTCCCTCTACTCCAATCCTTCAGCTAGAGTATTAACAAACGGCACACTCTCACACACCTTCCACATAACCAACGGTACCAGACAAGGTTGCCTTTTATCCCCCATAATCTTCACTTTACTTATTGAACCCTTAGTTTCGAAACTTAGAGATGACCCAACATTCACAGGAATCACCCACCTCAAACAAGAACACAAAATTAGCCTATTTGCAGATGACATCATCCTAAGGATCACCAATCCATACAAATCGCTTCAAACGATTCGTACACATCTTCACAACTACTCAGAAGCTTCATATTATAAATTTAATGAGCCCAAATCCTCTATCCTAAATCTCCATACCTCCACTAAGATACAGAAAATGCTGATCAAACATTTCCCGTTCTCTTGGGAACACCACAACATCTCTTACCTGGGAATTAAACTCACCACTACGACCGATCAACCATACGCTTCAAACCACAAATTATTACTTGAATCCATCCCACAAGAACTCAAAAATCTACACACATCAGTGGTATCAAAACTAGGAAGAGTGGCTACCCTGAAAATGTGCATACTACCCAAAATCCTTTACACATTTCGCACACTCCCCATACCGGTCCCCAATACCTTCTTCTCCAAATTACAAGTAGTACTTGCCAAATTCCTCTGGAACTCAAAAAAAACCCAGATGTACTACAAATCTCTTAATACGCCCAACTTCTAGAGGAGGAGCAGGGCTCCCACATTTAAAATCATAATATAATGCTACACTTCTAGACCAACTCTATTTTGGTGGCACCCAACTAATGAAAAATTATGGACCACCATGGAAACATTCCCACATCTCCCGCCTACATCACGTAACATACTCTTCTTACCGCAAATACCTCTCTCCAAAATTCTACCCAAACACCCATGCATGCAAGCTTCCCTATAAGCCTGGTATGATCTCTTAACATCTA